GTGCTGAGCGCTTGTCCCCCGACCATACCTGGGTCATCCATGCATTCGCTGACTCAAGCATATATGGGGCCCGTCTACGGTTGGCTCTGTGCTCGGGGACACAGCAGTGAACAAAACGGACAAGGAGTTTGCATTGTCACGGGAGAGACAGAGAGCAAATAACAAAATACGTGATGGACCGTCAATTAGCGATGTGTCAGGAAGAGAAATACACCCGTGAGGGGACAGAGACGGGAATTCTCTGCTAAGAGGACAGTTGAACAGAAGCCAGGAAGATTTCCGGGAGAAGAGCATCCTCGGGTTGAGAGGACAGCCAACGCAAAGGCCCTGAGCCGGGGACATGCTTGGTGTGTTTGAGGGACAGCGGGAAGGCCACTGGGCTGGAGCGGAGCGAGCGAGGACGGGGCCTGAGGTTGGAGTGGCCATCGGGAGCCAAGCCACCCAGACCTGGATTTCATTCTAAGCGAGAAGAGAGCCCGTGGGAGCAGAGTGACACCGGCTCTCATCTGGACTGCTTTATGGAGCATGGACTCTGGGGGTCAAACTCAGAGCAGGGGTCTCTGCTGCTTCGGCCGTACCGGCCAGTCCAAGGGACATTGCTCCTTGCTCAAGCAGCCCTCCAGCAGGTACCAGAATGAGGGAAATGGCGGCTGGAGGGCCCCCTCCCTCTCTCGTGACCAGCTGAGCAAAAGCCTAGGCACACCCCACATACCTTCCCGTGAGAGCCACACAAGTTGGCCCGTAATTATGCTGTGAGTTCCCCCATAATTGTTTTATTCACTCATCCAGCAACCTTTGGGGGCGGGGGACTTGTCCTGGACACGGGGACATGCAGAAAGTTCACTTGCTTTCAGGAAGCTCACATTCTCAGAGAGCCCGGGTGAGCAGCAGGGCGGGCGGACTCCCCGTGACCCAGGGCAGTGGAGGCACAGCTGGACTCACAGACTCGTGGATGCTGAGCTCTGGGAAGCTGGGAGTACGAACTCCACGCCCCGCGCCACCCACCCCACCCCCACTAATGGTGAGGACACCCGGGCACAGGGTGGGAATGGGAAAGGCGAACGCTCACACAGCAAGCTGGGGGCCTCGGCTCTCCCTACTCAGCGTCAGCCCCTAGGAAGGAGCGGGGCCCCTTGAGGGCTGGGATCAGGTGTGTCTTACTCAGCGCTGTGTCCCCAGTGCTCAGTAACTCTGTATGGAGTGAGCGAGGGACCCCAGCACGAACTAAGAGGAGACCAGACCACACCCGACAAGAGGGGCCAAAGACCCCTCTCAGTCTGGCCTGAGAGAGCAGCCAGAGCGTGGCCGGCCGACCCCGCTCGCTTGGGATCATGAAGAAGCCTCTTCTACCTGCAGCTGACATGCCAGGAGGCAGAGTCCCTCCTGGAAGCCTCAGGAGCCAGCTCCTGAGAGAGGGGACTTCAGCCTGAGCCCATGACAGGCACCTGTGTGCCCCGCACAACATTGATGACCTCGGGTTGTTGTTATTAATATTCTTGCTTTAACAAGAGAATCTTTGGCGTTAAGATACTGTCCCATTTCGGCGACCCCACTTTACAGAAGAGGACACAGGATCAGAAGGCTCACTCAGACCCAAGGTCCCCAGCTCGTAAGTGGCGGAGCCGAGATTCAAATCCCAGCTGACTCCTGAGCCTACATGCCGAGCCCCTGAAAAGACGACCTCCCCGGCTGACACAGCCCTCCGGCGGCCTGCTCGAGGGCTGTCCTGTCGGGCACTACCCATCCTGAGAGGCCGGCCTATTGCAAAACCTGGGTTTTTTTAAATTGCTTTTTTTCTCAAGTAGAGAAGCCTTTTTTTTTCAATTGAAAGCAGGCTGGAACACCCAAGCACAAGGCTTATAAAAGCAGAGTTGCCCCCCATACTACCAGCCCCAATGCCGGCGGCCCTACCCGCCCTGAGCGCTGGCTCAGCTGGCCCCAGGCTGTCCTCTCCTAAGACGGGAGCCCAGTCACCCGCAGTCCTGCTTCTTGCCGCCTCCACGTGGGCCTACAGGCACAGGAGGGAAGTGAAGCGGGGCCTTCGCATCCTCCTTAGTGGATGAAGAGACTGAGGCAGACATGCTTGCCTCGAGCTCTGTGGGCTGGCCAGGGGCGGAGCCGCGACTGGAACCCAGGTGTCCTGCTTCCTGGCCCAGTGCTGTTTCTTTGAGGTCACAACCGCCTGTAGAACAGAGGTGACCAGGAACCAGGGCCAGAAGGGAAGGGGCTGATGCCATAATCCCAGGTGACCCGCCCCCAGGCCCTGGCCTGCAGAGTGTCCCACTACCTAAGCCTCCAGCCTCCTGGCCAGCACACCTCTCCCTCCAGAGCCCAACCCAAAGCTAAGAAAGCCCCTCATTCTTGGGGCAGCCCACCCCCGGGGCCCTCAGAGTGCTCTGGAAAGCTTTAGGGAGACCCTCTCGCAGAACAGCGTGGTGCAGAAGCCTCCCGACATCTCAGCAGACCGCTTCCTGCTATAAAGCGGGCCCAGGGCTCCGGGTGAGGGCACCAGACAAAGCTGGCCCTCGCCTCACGCCCGCCACGGACTCTCAGATGCCTCAGAATCTGAGGTTCTGAGTGTTTATGGGGATTCCAGATTTCAGGAGTTCGTTTATAAGAATTCTGTTTATACTTGGTGTTTGCTGAAATTGCCAGACTCGTTCTAACTGTACAGATACAAGTCTCAGACGACATCATTCGATCAGCGGGACCAAGCCCTGAGAAAGAGGGAGCGGGTTCCTGGACCATCCTGCACCCCCTGACCCGGGACTGCTGGCCTCCCCTCCCCTCCCCTATGGGCCGGGCGGGCCCCTAACGCAGCCCCATCCTCCTAGCCTGGCTCGGCCACATAAATCACCCTCCCAATAATATTTGTATTGATTATCTAGATTGGAAGCCTCAGGTGGCTCCATTGTCTCCCTTGCTCCGTCAGGGCTCACAGATGGGGTCCTGTCCCCTCATCTGCGTTTCTAATGCGACATTGAAATGGAGCAGCCTCAGCTCCAGCAAGGCCCCATGCTGCCCTAAGTGCTGGGGGGCTGGAGGAGCGATAAACATATTCCTCGAGAGAAAATTATTAACTCTAGAGCTCATGGAGCTGCGAGAGAAGCCAAGATGGGCTGGTCCCTGGCCGCTGAAGGTGGAAACCATCAATACCACCTGGACGCTCATTAGAAGTGCCGAGCTCGGGCCCCACCCAGACCCACCAATCAAAGTCAGCATTCCAACCAGAGCCCTTGGTGACCCCCGCGCACCCTAATGTTTAAGACGCACGGCTCTAGTCCAACCCGGTACTGTCCAGAAGGGAAACCGAGGCCCAGAGAAGGCAAAGGCTTCGCCTGAGGTCACACAGCAGGTGAGATTCCCTCGAGTCTCTAGTTAGGGCTGAGGAAACGAGAGGGCGAGCGGCTTCTGGACAGAGGAGCCCGCCACGTGCCGGGCTGCTGTCCCTCCTGAGCTCCTGCCTCCCGTCTCAGGGTGTGGACAGATGGTCCAGACCAGAGTCTGACCCCCCTGTACTCTCCCAGCCTGGAGGGGCCGGCGAGAGCTCCGGGGACTCCCCGGGAGGGCACCTCCCGCCTGCCCCGGCCAGCCAGCTGCCCCTTCCCTGGCAGCAACTGGACAGCAGATCCCAGGGAAAAGCACCAGCTGGGTCGCCCAGCACAGCCAGACGTCCGGGGTGGGGGAGGCACCGAGGGATGGAGGCCCCAGAGAGGCGGCCAGCAGAGGGCCTGGGAGAGGTGGGGACAAGGGACAGAGAGCTATGGTCCAGGGACGGAGGCAGAAGGAGGGACAGAGATGGTGGGAGGCGGCGGACACACAGAGGGACGGAGACAAAGGGGAAGGGACGAGAACCAGAAAGGAGGGAGAAGGACTCCCCGGATGAACGGAGAAGCCGCAGGCTGAGAGAGGAAGCGAGAAAGCGGGCAGACGGGAGGGGAGGCAGCTGGCCTGGAGAAGCGGAGTCGGGGTGGCCCAGCCCTGCCTGGCCCGGCCTGGCCCAGCCCCCAGTGACAGTGCAGCTGCCACACTTGGGCCCTACCATGAGGTCAGTCCTGCCCTGGGGCTGAGGGAAAATAAATGGTGTCCAAGATAAAAGGTCCAAGAAATTATTTGTCTTGTTGTCACGTCTTGACTGCAATGGGCAGGGGCCAGCGGGCAGGCGGGGCATCATCCCAGAAAAGCCTGGGCTGGCAGGCTCACAGCACACAGGCAGGACGAGCCCCAACCCTGAGCCCTGGCCACCCACAGCCACCCTCAGACGCCCCCCTTTCCTGCCCCTGGCCCAAGGCTGGGGCCTCGGATACCTCCCAGAACCTGGCCCAGGAGGCAGGAATGGTGGAGGCGGGTCGGCATTTGCTCAGCTTCTGTCCCCAGACCCCCCTCCAAGCTCTGGGAAGGCGGGGTCCTGTCTGTTTTGCTCACTGCCGAGGGTCTTTGTGGGCTGGGGCGTGGGGAAAGGAGGGAGTCAGGTGTCCCACTCCTCCCGGCCCCTTTACAGTGGCAGGTGATGGTTCCCAGACACCCCAGGGGAGGGCTGGGCAATACCAAGGTCAAGGGCAGGTCAAAGGGACTGTGGCCCAAGGCGCAGCCCCGTGCCTCATAGGTACACAAACATTCACACGCACGACATGCTCACGCACGTGTAAACGCACTCACACGCTAGCCCCGCCCCCCCGAACGTCAAACCTGGGTCTAGTAAAGCAATGCCATGGGGAACAGCCACCTGCTTTAGGATGTCCCCAAGCAAGCCACCGACAGCCATGACGATGGCCATTTAGGGGGCATTTTCATTCACGTCCTCAGTTGGTACTCCCAACAGGGCTCTCTGGGGTACACGGCTGCATCCCCCCTCCACAGATGGGGAAACTGAGGCCCAGGAAAGCCCAGAGTCAGGTGCAAGGTCACACAGCCGGGATATGGCAGAGCTGGGACCTGAACCTGTGCTCCTGAGGCCGGGAAGTGTGTGCACTGCGGAGGAGGAGGGAACTGGCTCCTACCATACTTGTCCCCGTCCTCGCCACGGGCACTGATCCTGCGGCCCAGGACCTGGATGTGCTTCCCGCTGGTCCGGCTGTAGAGCTGGTACAGCCGCAGCTGCTTACGGCTCACATCGTCCCGAGCCCGCGTCTGGTTCTCCACGTGGATGCGGAAGTCCACGTTCTCCTCGGCCGCCAGCACCTGGGCAGGGAAAGGGGCAACGGTGAGCGCCGCGGAACGTCCTGGGTCCCCTGGGTGCCAACGCCACATTCCCAACGCAGAGCCAGGCCTCAGCACGTAGTCATAACTGCTCTGTCGCCACCCCCGGCTCAGACAGGTGAGGTGCGGTGCCCCAGGTGGCCGACCTGGCCCAGCCAGGAAGTGGCGAAGGTCGCCAGCACCTGGGCAGAGAAAGGGGCAACGGTGAGCGCCGCGGAACGTCCTGGGTCCCCTGGGTGCCAAAGCCACATTCCCAACGCAGAGCCAGGCCTCAGCACGTAGTCATAACTGCCCTGTCGCCACCCCTGGCTCAGACAGGTGAGGTGCGGTGCCCCAGGTGGCCGATCTGGCCCAGCCAGGAAGTGGCGAAGATAAGAAAGAATCAGGCCTCGGTCCTTTTGACAACAAAGCGAGCTCTCTTTCCGCCACAGCCCCGGGTAAAGCGAGCAGAGCAGTGCGGGGCAGAGCTTTTTTGTGACCTGGGGCACACAGTTTGTCCCGCCTCAGTCTCCTGCCCAGCGAAGCAGTAGCATAGAGCCTCTGCTACACCCCAGGGCGGCTGTGACGGTAAAGCGAGAAAGCTGGGGGGAGTCCCCAGACGGATACGGAGATGGGAGGGGCACGGGGCACTGTCACTGCTGTCTGAGTCCTTGACTGCGAAGGAGCGAGGGCTGGCTAGTCACCCTGGGAATGAATGGGCCAGAGTCTGCTGTCACCTCTCCCCTGGGAGCTGATGCCGAAGGGGATCCCCCCCACGCCCCGAGGATCCCGTAGGGATCCTCGCCCCACCACCGGGCACTTGTCCACTTCTCTGGCCTTCGCTTTGCATTTCCCATCAAAACGTCCCGTGTCCCTGGAGCTTTCACTCCCGTCTGACCACACCTGCCGGAAGCCGCCTCCGGCTAAGCCGACGCGTGTCTCTCCGGCCTCCCTGCTCCGAACTCGTCCGCTCACCGGGGGGCAACTGGCACCTGCCGCCAGGCCGGCCTCCTGCTCCCACTCCTGCCCCGCAAACCCCGTCACCTCAGGTGACCCTTCCCTCCACACTCTCCAGGGCTTGCCTCACATTTAGATAAAGGTCCCCATCACGGCCTCAGGACCCTGCAAGAGGAGCCGCCAGCGGCTTTTCCGCCCTCATCCCCGAGGGCTCCTTCCCACTCTCACACGGCACTATGCCTTGGGGCGTTTCAGACACAGGACACGCGTCTGCCTCAGGGCCTTTGCCCTGGCTCTTGGCTCTGCTTCTGTGCTCCTTCCCGGATGTTCGCGTTCTGGTCCCTCGGTTTCATTCGGGTCTCCGCTCAAGTGTCACATCCTGAGACAGGCCTTCCTTCACTGCTCTTCGGAGGCAGGCCCCACCTCTGCCGCTTTCCATCGCCCAACCACGCTTTGTTTTTCTTTCTAACGTTCGTCAACCTGACATAACCTCAATTTACCTGGTTTTTTTTCAGCGCCCCTCCCCCCCCACCCTCGACTAGCCTGGCAGCACCATGAAAGCTAGAGCTGTCTTTGTCATTTGCTGCTATATCCCCAGTAGGTGGGTGGCACAGCAGAAACACATTTATTGAATGAATAAGTAAACGAACAAACGGACATCGAAAAGATCCTGCCGTTCCATTCAGCACTAAATTCGGTTTTTCCATGCCCTGCTAATTTAATTGTATGCCTGTCCCATCCCAACTTAACCATAAAGCTGAACAATTCTTGAAGCCCAGACAGAGTTTTGGGTTTGATCCGTGTGCCTGCAGGTCTGACACGATGCTAGGCACATAGGACCCCAGTCCTATGAACGCGTGGCCCCCCTCGGCCCGTGGCAGAGCCCAGGGCTGTCCAGGCAGCTGTCTTACCCTTCAGCTGTTAGCTCCCAAGGGCACGGACCGTGTTCACCTCGTGGCTACACCTCCCCGCCCAGCCCGGGGTCGCTGTCCCCCAGCTGACCTGCACATGTCCTCCTGCCCCAGCCTGGGCTCCACGGACACCTTGGCTGGACCACGTGATTAAACTTCCACTATCATCCGCAGGGTGAAAGCATGAACCCACATTACAGATGAGGAAACTGGGGCTCCAGAGCTGAACGGACAAGGTCATAGAGCGGGCAATGGCAGCCCAGGCCTCGTGACCCCAAAACCCAGCTTTCAGCCCCGCCTTGCTGGGCCCCCCACCCGCCTCACCAGAGCCACCAGCAGCAGAACCCAGGTTCAAGACCCAGGGCATCCACTCCCTCGCTAAGGGACCCTAGGCCAGTTAGGGACACTCCGGGCCTCAGTTTCCTCACGTAGAAAACGGGAGCGATGATAACGGCACCCACCTGGTGGGTGCAGCGATTAAACACACGAAGTCATAGGACGGTGCTGGCACAGAGTGCGTGCTCCTCGGGGAAACTACCGGGAGACGAGGCAGCCCGAAGCGGCTCTCGGGGAGCCCTACACACAAGCCTCCCTGGGCACGCGTGGGCTCGCACCCCCGTCCCTACAGACAGGGCCCGTCTGTGGCAATGCTCATCACCCCCATTTCACAGACACAGAAACTGAGGCTCAGAATGGCGAAGGCAGTGGCTCTGGGGCACGCAGCCCAGTGGGGTGGGGCCCGGCCACTGGCCCCCCGGGCGTGCACGCCCTTCACCCTCACTCCCCTCAAGGCCAGTCCCCTGTCACCATCCAGATCAGGGTCTGACGCCTGGGACCGGCCTCACTTCACACCCTGCTGGTCAGGGAGGGAAAAACTCCAGTCCCCACTGGGCCCCCGCTGTGGGCCTGTGTCCTGAAGACCTCCCACCCTTGGCCCTCGACCTTCCTGGAATGACTTCCCGAGGTGGCCTGGCCCTGTCCCCTCCCCCAGGGGCAGGCCTCCGGCCTCCTTCCCTGTCCTCGACTCTCCTCCTGCTCACAGGAGCCCTTATCGACCAGAGGTCAAACCAATCTCCTCACCCCGGGGCCCCGAGGGGGGCTGCCCTGCCCCAGAAGCCAGCCTCCCGTTAACGATTTTCTCCCTGGCGCACTGGACAGAGGCAGTGTGGTGACCCAGGGTCAGCAGGGACTATCCGGTGGCCCTTTCCCAGGAGGTGGGGGGACAATCCATCTTGCCCAGCTTTCACCATTTAAGCCACACTCTGTGGCCACATCAGTCCCCAGGGAGGTAGCAGGGGTGGCCTCTGACACAGAAACAGAGTCTGTCCTGGACAGGCAGGAGGCTGCTGGGCTTCCTGGGCAGGACATCCGGGACTCCAGGCCTTTGCACAGGCTGCGTCCTCTGCCCCGGGCACCCCACCCCTCTGCCCACCTGACACCTGCCCTCGGATGCCTCCCCTGGAAGCCTTTCCTTCCCCCGACCCCTCTGGACACTATAGTAATGGCTCACCGTCCCCAGCGTCTAGCTTGCCTGGTCCATGCCTGGATCTCCAGCCGTCCCCAGGAGGCGGCTGGCAAACGTTTACTAAATGACTGTGCCCAGAACAAGGGAGACCGAGACCCGGAGGCCAAAATCAGCCCCACCGCTTGCCACCCAGACAAGCAGAGTGCCCGACAGAGGGGTGGCGAGCGGGGAGTTCAAAGCTATCAGTTGCTAAGCTTCTCTCCGTCCCAGGCACTCTGCTAAGAAGCGCTTAGACGTGGTACCGCCGCTAATTCCCTCCACCGCCCATGGAGAGAGAGCCCGCTGCACAGGTGGGACCTCGGGCCACCTCCCTGGGCCACACAGCTCCAGGGTCTGCCCACAGCGCGCATGCGAAGCCGCCGACGCAGGAACATTTTCCCTCCTCCTTCCCGGCCGGCTGGGTAGCGGGTCACTTAGCCTCGCTGCCTAAGAGGGGGCCTGTCTTCTGGGTCTTCCCAGAACAGCCAGCTGCTCTCTGCTGGGGGAATTCCCCTCCAGGTGCGTGGTCATCAGGAGCTGAAAGCTGCAGGGTGAGAAAAATCGGATCGCTGCAGCTTCTGCGAGGCCAGCAGTGTTGGCACGTCTGTCTGTCTGTCTGTCTGTCTGTCTGTCTCCTCCGGCAGGAGAAGGTGACTTCCGTTGCTCTGCTGTCTCCCCACTCACACTCACAGATTATCTTTTGGGTCAAAGTAGCTTTTGCACAGGAGGGTGGCCCATCATGGCTTCCCTCCTGCAGCCGAAGACCCTGATTACTAGCCAGCCGGCCCCTTCCCTGCCCTGAGGCTCTGGTGGAAATAGTCACTCCGTGATCCAGGCATTTCCCAGGGGTATTTCATCAGGGTCCACTCTGCCCCCACTGTCATAAGGCCCTGGCGGGGACATGGTGCTGAGTGGGACAGGGCCACCACCTTCCGCCTGCAGTCTGTCCTCGTCAGCATGGCTGTCTATCACACAGGGAAGGAAGGCTATTTCCCTGCTCCAAACTCTGCCTAGCTCCCCGCTGCACAGCTACGTACACACACCCCACACACACCTTCAACAACCCAGTAACTAGCACTAGCTGACCTCAGGTGCTTCTACACCAAATCACCGGCTTCCTTGATTTCTGTAACCCTCGGTTTTCCCAGCAGCAGAATGGGCATTGTTTATAATATTTATCTCAGAGGAAGATCATCCCAGGAAAAAGAGCCATGACTTTTTTCCTTTTTTCCTTTCGTTTGATTTTCTAAACAGGCACTACTTCCTCAGTACATCCTCTGTGCTAAGAGCCACTTTGGGGAAGTAACCCTATGCGATGCCAGCGGGGCCCTATGAGTTGGTGTGATGACTGGCCCCATTTGACAGAGGAGGTAACCGACGCTCGGAGAGGTTACGTCTGTCGTCCAAAGTCAGAACTCTTGAGAGAAGGAGTCAAGATTCAAATCCACCTCGCCCTTGATCCAGAAGCCAAGCTGTCCATCACTTCCCCCTCGCCAGCTTCCACTCGCCTCTCCCTCGCCTACCTCCTTTCCCCTATTCAGGACGGCGACTGGTTCTGGCCACAAGCCACGGCCAGGGCAGGGCCTGGGATGGGGGGCTTACACATGAAAGGGCTGAAGGCCTGAGCTTCC